ACAGATAACAGAATACTGTGTTCCTTGAGCACAAAAAACATACAGTGGTTTCGGGTAAACGCCATTTTATTTCGGTTATAATTTTAAAAATCTTTTCTTGTTGCCGTATACATCGAAGTAATAATCCCTGTCTTTATAACAAGCGTTATGCCAACATAATATTAATATCTCAAATACCATAATTATTTACCGTTGATGTTAACACACAGGGTTGACAAAAAAAAAAAAAAAAAAAGTATATTGATATTATTTTAACGTCGAATACAACGCAAATCGCAATGCCTAAGAGCATTTCATTTTAGAACCCTCTGTTTAGTTTGCCGTACTGACTAGCTGGTTTAAAATTTTTTAAAAAACAAAACCAATGTTTTCATTATAAAACGACATTTATAGAAAATAATTGTTCATTTATTATATTTTAATATAATTTTAAAAAAAATAAGATTTTTAACTTTTCAAAATTCAGCCACGGGCAAAGATAAACTGTACGTGTTCTATTACATTATTCTTCCAGATAGAATTAGATTCATTTCTCGAAAACACGAAAATATAAGACAGTTTTCTTTTTTTTCTTTCTATAGTATGAAAATGGTCTTTGTAAAACTCGAGCTTATTGATACCTTTAACCTATAAAAGTAACAGAATGTTTTGAAGTCACAGAATATTATAATACAAATTTATAAGTGACACGTGGAAAAATAATTCTTTATTTTATCTACAAATAAATTGGTTCTACATGTTACAACCAAACATTTAATAGTTATTATATAGCCCTATATTTTTTTCTCAAGTAAATAACTCATACTATAGCTCTAACACTAGATTAAATTAAATAATTAAAACTAAAATCAATTTTCAGTCAACGATACTATTTTTATTTTGTAGATTCAACAAATTTTTTTTTTTGGTCACTTTTTTACAGTTCACCCATGTATAAACCAATAATAAAATGACTCTTAAACACAATACTTCCGTTGTCTATATATATATATATATATAATAATAGCGAATTTTAACAGGGTATGTGACATGTACTGTGCGAGCGAAATTTTAAGGTCCTCCTTACAAAAATTGCTGATTCGGGCGAAGGTTCGTAGTAACGAACAATTAAAGCGATTAAATTAGCGCTAACGGCAAGCACGCAAGCAAATTGCATTTAATCGTAACGGTAAGCTTTTACGGGGGTGAAGGGACGACAATGTAAGTATAATAATATTAACATTTTCGCGACTTTTGCCACGTTCGTTATTGGTAACGTCGTGTAATTTTTCTTATTGAACAAATGAGAAGGTGGCGCGGTGACGATCGCAGAAGAAGAGGGGAAGGTATGCGTACCTATAAAAGAGAACGGCAGTCGTTTTAGGTGAAAGCGCCTCCCCTTCCCCTCCTCTCCGTCGTCGTCCACGCGTATATATAATTCGGTGAAAGTGTTTTCTTTGCGGGAAAAAAACGTCGCGGAACAGACATGGAGCGGCGCGGGGTTCATCAGTAATACACATGCAAAGGGGGCGAGAGGAAGAGGACGCCCGCCGTGCCCTCCCCCCTATGAAATCGCCGCTTCCTCGTGTATTTATAATAATGTAAAAAGAGAGAACACTGTACCGGCAAAGTTAGGCATGACAAGGGGGGGGGTTGGCGTAACGCCTCCGTTTACAGCTGTTGAGCACACAAACACATAGACTCGACGGCAAAAGTTTATCAAAGCGAAAAAAACCACGTCGGGGGGAAATTACACAAAAATAATATTGCATTCTAATTATTGCCATTACCGGTAACGTCCATGCTGCTTACCGCAGCAGCAAGCGCCATTCACAATACAACAAGACAATTCAAATCTGACCAGTACACAAAGCTGCTAAACCCGTTCAAAAAATTGTTTACGCGTATATAATATGCAATGAACCTAGTTTTGAATGGTACATTTTAAACTTCGAAAATTATGTCGAGGTGGTGACGCCCTTGTTGCTGGACTACGCCTGGAGCTTACTCGTGTAAACATTTTGTTTCTTTATTGGAAAATAAACTTAAAATTTAAAAAAAATGAGTACATTTGTTTTGCTTTATTAGTAGCAAATTTCATTTCCAGCTAGTCGCATTATTTTTATCTCGCCTTATGAGATCGGTCATTAGTCTAGCGTTCGGACGGGTGACCCATAAAGTAAAAATAAAAGTTAACCATCGCCGGCCAAATGCTATCCGTCACCTACTGGAAATTCGGCGAATGCCACAAAACGGTCGTAAAACTTAACGACAATATCGAACACGACACATATTAGATAAACACAGATCACTTTGGATTAGATTGTTGGTACACGTTCCTTACACAGAGTTTTCGTCAAATAAGTGCGAACAAAATATCTTCAATTTGTGTTCCTATATGGCATCTAAAATGTATATACCGTCTACAAAAGATAACGCGACCGACACTTTTGTTTTACCTAAAACAAACACGTGTAAGAAGTTTGAATAGGTCGAGTGGTTTTTATTGACAATGAAGTCTTCCCTGTATGTTCTGTAGGCGGTTCTTCTGTGTGCGTCAATGATATCAGTTCCTATAACGTAGAGTATTGTGGCTTTGATGGATTGCCGTCAGAGCAAGTTTGCGAGAAAAACAGTCCGTTACACAAAATGGCCGGTGCTAAAAATATAGAAAAATGTCTACTCGTGTATAAAAAACAAATGCGGATGTCCGACAACGATACACGAGGCATGTAAATGAAAAATGGTACACGCGACCTTGCGATTTTTAGCATTTTAACAACAAAAAAAGGTACTACCGACTTTCTCAGAAGACACAATCGAGTCGGATTTCAACAGAATATTTCCAAAAAAATATGATCGACTGCCAACGGATGGATATACACGCTGACATTTGTACGGTACTTTATTTGACAATGTCGACAAAATTTTGGCATTGATAATGATTTCGTTAATTGAAAAAAAAATACAAAAACGTTAAACAATGCAAAATTTGTGCGCGTGTATGTTCATATATATATTACACACGTTGCAAAGATATTTGACAAGGCGGATTGCCACAACGATCGTACAAGAAATTTCACTTTCGAACGCGTTTTCCTACAAACTACTTTTACATGTAAGCCAACTGCCGACGTCGCCGTCGTTTATTTCTTCCGTTCACTTGTATAGGTCACTTTCAAACAAAATTCCTCTGTCTCGCCATCGCCGAGTTATTATCATTGTATACAATATTATTATTTAATTAGAATGACGGCGGTATCAGTTTTGTGTGTCAATATATAATCAATACAGAGCTAGGTGGGGTACCACCACCGACGGCAAACGCGCGGTTGACTCGAGGGGATTTTTTAAGGTCGTCGCTATAATACCATATATATATATATATGTGTGTATGTATATTATACACGGTGATCCAAGCTAATTTTAACCTTGATCGACACGTCAGACACGGTGTCGCGCAATTTGCCCATAATATTTTATAGATTTACCACACGTTATAAATAAATTATAATAATACGATATGCGTCGAGAAATATTAACACGTACATTTATTGACAATTTGACATCTAAATATAAAATCATCTTCAAAAAGTTAACAGCTTCGCGTCGAGCCTATATCAGCCGTTTAGTGAATAATAATTATTGTTATTATGAGCTAATAGCTATAAACGACAATTTCAAAGATAATAAGGGTGTTTAGAACCCGTCAAATACTAATAATATTTGTCTGTGGTGCATAAATTACACTTGCTAACTTGAATTTAAAAAAAGTATGTTAATAAATTTTAGTATTTAGTTAAAGCGAGTACAACTTGTTAATTGTTTTGTATCCGTAGCATGACGCTTAAAATCAAATTAATACTATGGACTGTGCTAGTAGAAACAATTTACAGGCCACATTATATATTGCACTGAAGGGCTAGGTCAGGGTAATTTACCAGAGTTCAAACCAAAACATTCGAATAAATATAATATGGGAAGATGTGTAGAAAATTAGGTTCTAGATTAGATAACGAATACTGGGTAGATACTGGTGGTCAGCGCAGTCCATTTGATTAATATGTACTGTTTTAAATCATGCCGTACAGCAATTCAATGGGGTTCAACTAGGGGAAGATATTAATCATTAGGATATGCGTCGGCCATGTTCTTATTTCGCAAACAGTACATTGTTATAACAATAATAGTAAGATAAGATTAGTATTTTTTTTAGAAATATTAGTAATTGAGAACATATGACCGTCGCGTCGCGTTTTTGTTTAGATTAGAAGTGTCTCTTATTATATTATTATGGTCAACTGTTGACTGTTGGAAATACTAATAAACAAAAATAATCAAACTCGGTCATTATCACACAAAAATGAACTGCCAACTGACGGTTTTAAAAATAACCAAGTTTCTAATCATCCGTCTATTTTTAACAGCTATTGTGGTTCAAACAATATATTTATATATGTATTATATAACATCAGCGTACAACTATACGAATTAAATGTGATAACCTTAATAATAACTATTAATAATAGGTACATGAACAATATATTGTTTAGACAGTGAGACATTTTGTTTTATCAATTTTAGTTTTTAATTGAGACAAAATTACACAAATCATTTTTTGTAGTACGGTTTTGTAAAAAAAATAATTCTGCGATAATTAATTACTATCTGTGTTTGAAAATAATTACTTGAGACAATATGCAATTTTAGTGACGCAAGTTAGACAAATATATACTAGCCGCCAACGGCGTTTTAAAATTTCTCGATCCGATAAGAAATCACAAATATAAAAAATTTAGTACGGTGCTACGATATTGAAATGTTTTAACCGTCAACTTGATATAATTAATAGCAACGGCGAACGGTTGCATAAACGACATGGAATGAGATGCGTAGATACTGAACGAGTGGAACATATGTTGTAGAATTCAATTAATATAATTTAATAGTACTCCGTCATAGTGTTATCGTAATTGTATAACCAGCGATAAGATAATTTTAACTCAACAAATGATACGTACCTTCTTTGGCCTACTGGAGTTATCATTTTCGGCGAACGCTAAAATAACCGTACTTGGCAAATAGTGTGCAACTTTCTGAAAAAAAGAAAACTCAAAATTAATAATTTTGTATAAAAAATGGCATCAGAGATAGCAATATCCGGGTCGTTTTGTTTTTTAATACTCTGACCCAGTTAAGGTTTTTTTGGGTATGCATAAAGCAAAAAAAAAAAAACAAAAATACTTTAAAAAGTTTTGAATATCTTTACGTCGTATAATATAGATTAGGAGATCACGCGTTTAAAAAATAATAATAAGTAAAATGTTACAAAATATGGAAAATATTTTAGTAGTAAGGATAGTCATAGTCCGTAATTAAGTGTGGGGGTAGTGGGTACCCGTTCTACCTGCAACTACAGGTACTTTCATTATTATAGGGAAAGGAAGTAGGGTCATGTGCTCCCCGATATATACTACAACGGGATGTTACAGAACAATAAATGTGCCTGTCGGTGCGATATTATTAATGTTGTTAATAGACTTAACCCGCATTACGTATATTAGGGTCAAGGCTATCGGTAGTATACGTAAGGATATAATATTATTACTAGGATAAAACATCGATAAATAAACGTCAACGGTGTCGGGAATAATGAGAGGCGATCGGAAAAACGCAATAGTACAATATGTACACTTGGATTCGGCGAGAACTATCCAGCTCGGCATTCTGGCACAACGTAACCATACTTATTATTTATACGTTAGCACAAAGGAAATCGTCTAACGATGACGTGTATCCGGCAACGCTCGTAGGGTACCCAGTTATGATATTATTTTTGAAGACAAATTCCTTTTCGTCCGGTTACTGATTCATAACGATAAAATTTCACACCAAGTATTTTTTGACCTTATATAGAGAAAAGTGGGAACACTGCGATGATGTACACGCGTTTTGCCCTCGTGCGAGATCATTGTCGGGGTCTGATATAAGAAAAATTAAACCGACCTTATGTGAAATAAAAAAATGTATACATACATCGCTGGCCAACATAGATGGCATTGGGTGTACAATATAGTTTAGATAGTGTACATAACATAAACTGGCTATGTAAAAACCCGAAAAACATTTAGACAGACAAAATATAAATATATATATAATAATTTATCACGGCGACATTGAGGTAAAATTCTATGTAATACGGGAGCACACGGTTCCGAGGTGGGTCTGGATTTTTTCCTCGGTCGTTTATTATAATAATAATAATAATATACTGTTTAACACACACGCGGCATTGACAGAAGGGGAACTGCAACGCCTCAAGGCTATATACGACCATCGCACGCAGTTTTTTTTTTGTTTTGCAACTCAGTAACACTACAGCGCGAGACCCCCACTACTTTATACTACGGTGTACGATATTAATTGCTGACACAGATTCTGTTCCATTATAATAATATACAAGACGGAGGCGATCGGGCGCGGTGTGTAGTGAGTAAAAGTGAATTTTTTCAAATCGAAAACGAGTTAGGTGCTCATTGAACATAAAGAAGATACCTACTTTCTTGTTACGGCGACTACCAAAAAGCAAAAGCAGACTGCCTATATTATAATAGATGCTACACTATTATTACTTTATTATTAAAAATAAGAATTATTAAACGTCGCGTTACAACAACAAAAAAAACTTTACTCAGAATAATTTTATTATAGTTAATCAATTTTTTTACAAATAATTTGTACCTATATTGTATTTGTACCTAATGCGTCAAAACTCAACGTTTTATACTAAGTACATGCACAGATTAATACAGGTTAAATGCAAAGCTGCTAACTGTCAAATTTTATGCTAGCAACAAACCGGATTTTTTTCAGAAACGTATTCATGTGTAATTTGGCCGTTTTAACGGCTTAGTTCTGAGGTGTTATTATAGAAATTGCATTTGTTCATAATAGACGTTGTGTGTAGTAATGTGCACTATACATAAGTCGTTGGTAACGAGTAAAGAATTAATAATAACATTTAATTAACGATTCTTGGAATTTTAAGTATTCAAACTATGTAAGGTAATTATTCTCCTGTAATTCACGCACCGACAATGTGAAAATAAGTTATATGCACCTTAACTTCGATAAAAACCGTCCATTAATATCTTTATACCGTCTTATCCATATACCTACACAATATAAATGGTCAATTAATGATGGGATAGTATTCAGTATCACCATGGTTACACTAGGTAGTCGAAATAATAGCAATGCGATATCTAGATAATTTATTTGTCATTGGGTAGTTACGATTAGTGGATTTCGAAAAATTCAGAATAAAAACAGTAGATATAAAAATGGATAAAACCAAAACACGCAACGAATCGTGTAGAAAATATACCTCTGAATGCCGAATGATTATTGTGCATTGATCATGAATAAGTTAAAACTGATAATAGGTATTGGACTGTGCACGTTTGCAACTGTGTCGCAGCTGTCACCAAGCATGGTATTTAATTTATATAATTCGAAGGGAAAACTTTACACGGATAAAAGAACCGTGTAAAAAACAATACGGAAAAACGGGCGGAATTTGTAGGGAATTAAATTATTATTCCATTGACAAGTACGTGCTCGGGTGGAATAGGATACATATAAATGCGCCTATGTTGCCTAATGTTCAATTAAGCTTTTGATCTGTGGACATTAGTTAGGTTTATACATCATAATATATATAAACAGATAAATAAACGCAATCAGAGAAGATTGGCTCGGGAACGCGCATCAAAACCCGGTCGATTACACGGTTCGACATATTTTACACTCGATAACTTTTAACACACTATTTCTCAACGGCGCGTACAACAACTTCCGCTAAACACTCATAACGTTGAAACACCGTGATCTAAAGTAAGTTTTTAACGAAAAACCCTTATTGCGCTCAACCACGACAAAATGAAAAACAAGTCGTTTCAACTCTTGCGGCGTTGCACAGACAAGTAACAAAATTTAACGGTTCGTTAAATTGGAATACGCCAATCAAGCTTTTAAAGAGTAGCGGCTGTTTAATAACAATATTTAAACAGTATGATTTCTTCAATCAGCTGAATTCTATAGTTAATGTTAATGACAATCAGCCAAATCAAGTCGTAATACATTTATTATTATTATCATTATTCATTATTATTACTGGTAATGTGTATAAAAACAGATTAAAAAAATATTACAATATTATTATACAGTTTGTGAGCTGCTATTGTATTTTTTAGTTTTATAATATAATATATTTGACATACATTCAGAACGCTCAACAAAATCTGCTAGGTTCGATCGGTAAATACGAATTTCAATACTAGTTTCTTGGGCATTTATGTATGTAATAAAACAAAAAATTCCATTGAGTAGTCTAAGACTCAAGCCTGGCCTAAATGTTTTTAGTTTGACGACTGCAGCGGAGAGACGGTGAGCGTTTTTTTAAACCGAGTTTGTTTTAAAAACGGGTACCAATGTAGAACACAAACTCTTGGCGGTGAGATTAAACTTAACAACAAAACAATGCTCGTTAATAGTTCTTATAAATAAAACGTTCAAGGTTCAAATTACATTATAAGCGCGTATTCGTCTCGTTCAGCAGCAGTTCACAAGGGAGTATTTATAACACTCAAAAGTTAATTCATATATAGCCTAGGTTTCATTTTTCCTATTAAGATCATTATGACTAGGACTGTGCACGAAATGACCGCTTCAGACCGCCCTGCGATACTGCCATTGATAACTTATAGAACCCAACAATTTATCTTTTCTAATTTTGATTATACGTAACTCAATTATACAGCATAACTTACATGGCTTCAATACCCAACATGAATGTGTTTTTTTATTATTACACATAAACGCTGAATTAATGACAAGAGTCAATATATTATAAATAAACGATTTCCTATAGTAACTACAAGACGTTTCTTTCTACTGCAATATTCCAATGAACCCGACCTAGTAACCCACTTACACAGCCTTTGGATATAACTATAGGCAAACGACATTGGGTACTGGACACATGCGATGTAGATTTATTAAAATAGTGTTTCCGTAGACCTTTGGACACAAACATGGTAGGTACTGTTATAATTTAAATTTTTAAGGGAAGGAGAAGGATACGGGGGGTCAGGGGAGGGCCGTTATGATAAACACCGCATACACGCATATGTGGCGACATGAGGGGAATCGCTTTTGGGACGTTCTCTGGGGTTAACAACACACCGCCAAGTCCGCACACTAAAGCATTTATTTAGACCGCCGTGCAGCACTGCCACAGCCGATCGATGTGGGCTCACACACGCTCACATTATGTATATACATATATATATATATATATATGTGTGTGCGTGAGTGAGTGAGTGTGTCTGTGTGTGTATATAGGAACCCACCGCGGGTGCAAGTACAATGGCCGCTAAGCTCGTGCTATAAGCGCCTCACGCCCTTCGTCGACGAGTGATGGCAATGGCGGTAAACGCAAAAAAAAAAAAAGTATTTATACATGTATATATGTTGTATACTACCCTACTTCTAACTTTCATAGGCGGAGTGTGGCAAAACGACAGCCCGAACAGAAGGGCGGATGAAGCGTGCGGAAACGACGACGGGAACGTTGAACCCGGCACGCATAAAACCACCTTAGGCCTTGCCGCTGCTCGCGGCGTTAATGACATTTCGATGACTTGACCTCTTTATAATAATATGTATTTGTATAATATGTTTAGTCGAATAATAGTTTTTGCAGAAACGAAAAAACATGAGTTCAGCCTAAAATAATAACACGGCGTGACTAGCGAAATTCGCTTTCTCGGTATGATCCAAATACTGTAATTATGAACACATGCAAATGTAAAAAATCATGTGATATAATATGTAATTTAAACCAATCATTATAACGGGGCATCGTCGCACACGACAAAACTCATTTGCCTACATCTATAATTAATAAAAATCATATTCAAAAATCAATCAGTAAAGTAGTGAATGACTTTGGTGAAAATTTGTGTATGAATACAATTTTAAGATGTTATACTATGCAAAATTAAATACTTTTCACTGTTAAACCGTATACGCA